CTCTCTCATCTGACATGCCCCTGGGGTTGCCATAGAGGACCCATGGCCTCTAGCAGGCAGTTGTACTGGAAAGGAGATGGGCACAGTTGCATAGATCCTGGGGCATCCCTCTCCCCACCCCCAACGCTTCCAGCCTGCTGGCGGTCTGTTCTCTGGATGATAAGACAAGAGGAGGTCATCAGAAGAGGTCTTCTCTCCTCTGCAGAGGTTGTAGGGCAACCACAGATTGTGGACATGCCACCACCTGCAGGCAGGGAGTCGTTTCTGCTTTGATCCTGTGGTTTCCTCTCCCCCAGTTTTTTGGGAGCAAAGCACTTTGCGAAGTCCCCCTTTTGCCATCTCCCTAAAGCTGCAGGCGAGGAGCTTCCATGACACCTCTCCTGAACTTATATATGAATATAAGCCATGCCCTGCTGGGTCGGACCTCTGGCCCATCTAGTCTACTGTCTGTTTTCACAGTGGCCGACCGACTGCACAAAGAAGCCCACTAGACTCCCAGCAGATGGCCTTCAGAGGCAGGCGCATCACCATCAAGGCTAATAGCTTAATAATAGGACTTCCATGAATCAGTCCAACCCTTATTGAAGCTGATAGCCAGCACCACATCTGCCAGCAAATTCCAAAGTCGAATTATGTGTCGAGTAAAAAAATATTTCCTTTTGTCTTTCCTGATTCTTCCAGGATTCAGTTTAATTGGGTGACCTCTGGTTCTAGTATTTTGGGAAGGGGAGAATAGCTTCTCCTTGAGCACTTTATCCACACCCTGCATATTTTGCTCTTAATTTGCTTGCCTTGAATCTTGTCTGGCTTCTTGTTGTCCAGTGGCTTCTCAGACAACAAGCAGTTCATGGAGCTTGGTCAGATATTTGGAAATAGTTGAGCATCTATAAAGCCATTTTTACATTTTATTCTGCACACGGTGAACATAAGTGGCACAGACAGAATGGAGACTGTTTATATAAGCTTTGCATATTTCTACTTCACTTTCTTGTGGGTAGAGACAGAGAATTGTCAAAGGGGTAAAACCTGCACACCTTCGCTGCTGGGAGTCCTGCAGGCTGATGTTGCACTTCTGGATAATTGCATGTCTTTTCCCAAGGTAGAATGTCTAGAACTTTCTTTTTGGAGAGTGGGGAAAACCTGAGTTTCTCAGAAGGCAGGAAGATGTTTGCTGTTGCTGCCTGTTTCGAAGCTGGGAGTCATGGACCAGCAGGTCTGAAGGGCTCACATTGAGGAAGGTTGTCTTCTGGGTCTTGAGCACACAGCAAAGGAAATTTCCTTAAACTAGGTCATTTGCCTCCTCTGATGGAACCAAGATCCTTTTCTCAGCTGGGAATACTGAGGATTGCATCCAAAATCAACATTAGGCTGGGTTCTCACAACATGCTGGATCAGGTCAGTTAAAGAAATAGTTGCATTTGCGCAGCAGGCTACCCCGGGTTAGTTTTAATCTAGGAACTTTTTTTGGCGTCCTGAGAAATTCAAGCTCATTTTGTTCAGTATACTGGCTGGTCCTGAAAAATGGAACCGGGATAAGAGTCCAGCGGTAGAGCCGGAGGTCATCTTGATCAACCCTCTGCTTCAAGCAGGAAATGGGGGAAAGATTTAGAAATGTTCTAGAGCATCGCCAACTGCTAACAGTAAATGATTTGGAGAAAAAAGTTGCAGTGATTGGAAGAAACGTACTGAAACTGATGCTGTCCTTGTCATAAAAGCTCAGCTGCCAAGTGATGGATCTTCAGTCCGTGGCTCCAGGGATAGAGAAGGCATGTCTTCTCAAGCTTGCAGTAGCAGTTTTTGCCCTCTTAAAAGACACAATGTCCCATTCCTATTTTCAAACCATTGATGGAATTCAGAAGGAAGTACAGACATTTGAAGAAACCATTGCGTCTTCTTCCAGAATAAAAGTAATGGGTGATACAATTTCTATCCAAACAGCACCATGATAGGGTAACATCACATTGTTTGGACCAGTGCTGCATTCTGAATGCAGCTTCTCTAGCCCATCAGTGTCTTCTTGAAAGGGTGTCTAGGTGTCCGTTAGATTAGTTTTTACTCATTTTAAATCTACAAGAATGTGACCCAAAATGCTGAAATGGTCTTTCGTCAACCTTTCTCCCTGCTTGCCTATACAGGCAGTCCTTGACTTACGACCATTCGTTCTGCGAACATTCAAAGTTACGGCGGTGCTGAACAAAGGGATTTACGACCCGTGCCCGAAGTTATGGCCATTGCAGCGCCCCCATGGTCACAAGCCAGTTTGGTCTAGTGGTTAAGGCACCAGGCTAGAAAGCAGGAAGCTGTGAGTTGTAATCCCGCCTTAGGCATGAAAGCTGGCTGGGTGACTTTGGGCCAGTCACTCTCTCAGCCCAACTCACCTCATAGGGTTGTTGTTGTCTGGAAAATAGGAGGAAGGGGTGTTAAGTATGTTTACTGCCTTGAGTTATTTATAAAAATAATAAAGATGGAATAAAAAGTCTAAAAAAAAATTTGGGCGCTTGGCAGCCCACCCACACTTATGACCTCAGTGGCTCTTCAACTCCCCCACCCATCTCTGCCCTTTTGGCCACCCTGCACCCTGCCTTGCAGGGCAGCAAGCAGCCCCAGAACTGCACAGCTCTGGGGTTGCTTGCCTTGCCCCAGGAAGCTGCAGCTGCCCCAGCCCGGTCTCAGCCACAGTCACCCTTGTCATCCTGCACTCCGAGACCCTTGCCACCCTACACTCTGCTGCCCCAGCTGACCTTCGCTGTCTTCTTGCTCCCACTGCTGATGTGGCTGGGCTTCGCGCTGTGGGGAAAAAAAACAAATGGCAAGCAGCCCCAGAGCTGTGTGGTTCTGGGGCTGCTTGTCACCCTGCAAGGCAGGGTGCAGAGCGTCCAGAAGGGCAGAGATGTGGGGGGAGATAGGTGGATGGGGGGAGATGGAGGTAGTCCCTTACCTTACTGAAGCTTGGGGCTGGGAAGGACCAAGCACGGAATGGTTTGGATCAGGATGAGTCCTTGGCTAATGACCAATAAAATTGCTTAACAATGGCAACAGGAATTGCTGGGATTGCTGTTGCTAAGCAACGTGGTCATGTGTCATCTCACTTTACGACCGCATCGCTTAGCAATGGAAATTCCGGTCCCAATTGTGGTCATAAGTTGAGGACTACCTGTATTTTGGCACATCTCATTTTTTTCTAACAATTGTTTATGAATTTCTATGGTAGGCTGGTTCTTTCATAAAGAATAGCTTAAATCCCCCAGTGCTTGATGGCTTCTGAATTAGCCAGCCCATGTCTAGACATCAGAAGGTGTAACCGGCTGCTTTTGGCAAATAATGCTTCAGTTGCGGCTCCTCAGATAATAAATAGGCATCATTGGTTCCCTTTAATGGATCTAACTCCGCCCAGGTTCTCAGCGAAAAGTTTGCCTTGCTGTTTCCACATCTGCATTCCTCCTAAAGACGCCATTGCCGGCTCACCAGGACCATGCCAGGCTTCCCGTGCAGCTCAGAGGATGGAAGACCCTGGAGGACCTTCGCTTGGCAATGCTGGAATTGCGTTCATCCTGGGTTTCCTGGTGCCAAGAATGTGCCCTGCCCCTCAACTCTGGTCTTCTCCCCCAGGAGAACCGGATCTGGGACTTTTCTCTGAAGGCTCTTTTGGGGAGGATCTGAGTTTTGTCGACTCAGCTTCCTCTTGGAGTGTTCGTGTCCGACTTGTTCTGACAGACTCCTGGCGCCCTGGAGCAGAGCGGGCTCTAGCCTTGAACGAGGCACCTTCTAGTTGGCTTCTCCCTCTCTTGCTCTGAGGCACTGAGCACACAGAAGAGCGGATCCTTAATGAACACATCAATCATGCTTAATTTTCTAGCACTGGCTACTTCCAGAAGGGTGGGGTCTGTGCAGCTCTGGGTGAAATTTTGGCACCCCCCTCAGGCCGGCTTTCTTTGGAAATGGTCAGACCCTGGCAGGAAGTTTTCTGCTTCTCGCTTGGCCCACCGTTTCTCCTCTTCCACCAAGAGTATATCTCAAGGCCCAGCCCAGGCCCACTCTTCCACCAGAAACGTGGCCCATTTGTCCGTGTGGCTGGGCAGAAATTGCCCTGAGTCTCTGCTTAAGTTGAACCAGAGCGTTGTTCTCTAATGGGATAGGTAGGAATTAAAGTGTGCAGAGGATTTTTTAGATCTGTATCAACATGCTACTGCTGCTGCTATTTTATTTTGGAATAAGGTTTCCACGTTGGGTAACAAGAGAAGTCAGAAAGTTGAAAAGAGGAGAAAGTTTTGGTGAAATGTTCATGGGTGGAGTGTGCTACCCTTTGCACTCCCTTAGTTATAAATGCACACTAAGTCTAGCACAACTGAATAACCAGGTAGCCAAGGGGTACGTGTGAATGTCTCTCTGGGCTTCCATTCAGTCCCAGTGAAGATACCACGTGGGGCTGTTCTGGATATGTGCCCTGAGAATGTGTGGGAGAAGTTCTCAATCCCCTGGGGAAATTCAGAGAAATCGCTTTCCCGGTTTCTCCCTGCACAAAACAGGCAGAGTCATTCAAAAAGTGCTTCGTTCTCTTCTAAAGTGGTTTCTAGGGAGCTGCCAGAATCTTTGGAAGAGGGGCATTCTGGGAAAAGGGAGAGCTCCCTGTTTCCTTCTACAAAGCAGTCGGGTGGGTAGGAAAGGGAAACAAAGGATGGTAGAAAGGACATGGAGAGCATAAGGTGAATCTCTTGGAGAAACGGGGTAACACAATAGGTCTTCTCAGAAAGTGTGCATGTCAAGCTATAATGTACCCCAAATGTGCATTAGGAATCTCTGCATGCAGAAAGCTAGTTTGTGAGAACAGAAGGTTGTAGTTTCACTTTCCTGAGGTGCTGATTTTCTACTTGCAACCCCAGCTTTTTAAAAATCATTGTACCTCCTAGTCCCTCAGCTCCTTGTCCTCTTAGTTGTCCTGCATGCTCTCCCACTCTGGAAACTCTTTGGGTGGATAAGATTAAAGGGGTTAAACCTGTTCTGCCTTCCTCTTCATACAGGTGCGCCTCTTTTCTTCTAAGTCGTGCCCAGCCAGCCAATCAAAATAGAGTCCTTCAAGGTGAAAGTTGACTTTCTGAAGGTGCCCCTCGGCCTAAAGAAGCCGGCTCTGAAGGAGGCAGCGGCTGCCTTGGTGGCTGTCCCAGGGCCCGGGAGATCCAAATCCATCAACGTGGATCGCTACAAGGCTCGACGTTCTGACAACATGGACAACGAATCACAATATTCAGGGTATTCCTACAAGTCGGGGCACTCACGCAGCTCCCGGAAGCCCAGGTAAGCTAGCCAGCTGGGCTGAATTTGGGGCTGGTAGAGGAGGTGCCTAGGGACCAGTCCTGAAAGGATCTGGAAAGACTTCGTAGAACTGTGTAAGATCACACATGGAACAAAATGTGCTCAGAGAGGAGCTTGATAATTGTTTGCTCCCCCTAGAATTGCAGCCTTAAGTCACAGGCATTGGGGAGTATCCTATCTAGGTTGCAAAAATCCGGATGCCAGAGAACTGTAAGTCTTTGCTGCCATCTAGTGATAATCTGGAATTCTGCAGTCTGGATTTGGTAGTCCTTCTGGGAAGTGAAAGCATAACTCAATCCTGCTTGGGAACTTTCCCATGTCCCACAGGTCACCAAGAGGCCGGCCAAGTATCAGTTAATTCTGGAGAGCAAAAGGAAGAGGTCTAGAGTTTAAACTCTAGAGTTTAAACTCTAGAGCCATGTTTCTCAATCTCAGCAACTTTAAGATGTATGGGCTCCCAGAATTCCCCAGTCAGCTGGTCCATACTTTAAGTGCTTAAGTCTTAAGTTGCTGAAATTGAGAAACATGGCTCTAGAGCGTAGACTTATATAAAGGTTCTGACCTTTTTGTGCTGCACTAAGCAATTGAGTGTGGCATTTGAGGCTTCATTCTTGTCTGCAATAATGATTCCAATCAAGATGTGTTATATCTGGGAGCGTTATGTTAAGAAGGCTGAATTAAGGACCTGTGATTTATGGCTGAACTGGGGGTGAAGCTTGACAAATTGATTGCCCTCTCCTCGTTCCATTGCTGTGGGAGAACAGCCATTCTCTAGGGATCCAAAATTAACACAGTGGCTACAGACCCTCTAGCAACCTTGCTAATCATCATTCAAGTTGACCGTGCCTTGCTCCAGCATCAGAACCAAGTGGAAATGAGATGAATTAGTTAGTCAAGGTGATGGATTGGCTAGCCCAGTAAGTGGGGTAAAATCTACCAGAAATGGTGTTCTCCATGAGGGGCAGTTTGGTGGTTTCTGGAATGCTGTAACTGTTTCAAGGTATTCTAGAGGTGGTTTATTCCTGAAACAAGCTTGTTCCACCTGAAATGTTATATCCAGAGCAACTATTAAGTCAGAATGTGGATTGGAAGAAAAGAGGCTTGATTGACAGTTCAAAGAGGGGTTGCCAGATGAAATGCAGGATGAACTTGTTCATGAAGGTATCCTAAAGTCTCTGATGACATTAATCCAGCTCTGCTTGAAGACAATTGGTGGAAGACAGATGATGGCCATGAAGGGAAAATCCCATTTTTTAGTTAGTTCCTCCACTCACACATCAGAGATTTCGAAAGTTGAAGCCCTGAGCTGGGAATAGCAGGGCTATTGTCTGCTTAAGTACAAGGGCTTATGTCTGTATTGTGGAGAACCTACGCACTTTGTGAGTGCCCTGCTACCTCCTGTCCCCTTCTGAAGCATCAGCAAAGAGTCATACTTGAGAGCATAGCATATTTCAATCAGACACCTTAAAGCTGGCTGGGAAATGAAACCAAAGGTGTCAGGAGCTTTGAATAATCTGAAACTGAGCAGAGCCCAGGCTTGCAGAGGTACACATTCGTACAGGTAGTCCTTGACTTACGACCACAATAGGAATTGGAAAATTCATTGTTAAGTGGTGCAGTTTTTAAGCAAAGCATCATGTGACTGCACCCAATTTTATGACATTTGTTGCAGTGGTTAAGAGAATCACACAGTCATTAAGTGAATCATGCTGTTCCCCATTGACTTCGCTTGTCGGAAGCCAGCTGGGAAGGTCGCAAATGGCGATCATCTGACCCTTGGACGTTGCAAATGTAAATACATGCGGATTGCCAAGTGCCCGAATTTTGATCACTTGACCACAGGGACACTGAGACAGTCGTAAGTGCAAGGACTGGTCACAAGTCACTTTTTTCAGTGCTGTTGTAACTTCAAACAGTCACTAAACAGTCGTAAGTTGAGGACTATCCATATTTAGTAATTCCTGTTACCCATACAAACATAGACTGGCTCTGAAATACACTCAGAGGCGTTACTAGATTCTGACTCTATCGGCAACTTCACTGAACTCTCTGTCATGTGAAGATGCTCTGTGCCCACTCAACCTGTAATAGTGAGAGTATTGATGACCAGCTCTACCTTTAGGACACGTGGCAAGGTGTGTAAAACTTCTACAACTGTCAATTCTCTGGAATTTTATTTAGCTTCCCCATTTCATTTTCCAATAGTCTCAAAATTTGCACGGGTGCTGTAGGTTGGGTCTCTCATGTACACAGGACAGGACAGTTAGTCTGCAAGAATGCAGTCTTTTTGGGTGGGGGAACACATTGGCCCCATGACAGCTTGAGGACTTGTGGCTTTTGGTGGGGGACATAATTCAGCTGTTCAGGTCCTACCCCCTCATCCTTGCATCCATTGGGGGAAGGATTTGAGATCTCCCCCCTTCATAGCTAGTTTGGTTGGGCTCAGTATTGGGGTGCATGTGTGTCCTGGTTCCCCTCCAGCTGTCATTGTCAAGGGACTGCCAACTGTGGGGTTGATCCAGTGGGTCCTGGGGAAAAGCAGGGGGTTGTCAGTGTGTGGGGTCTACAAAGGTACATTACCTCCGTCCACTTTCTGGCTAGCTTAGGTTTAGCGTGATGTGTAATCCCAGCTGTCCTGGATTCTAAATCTTTGGTTTATGGCTCCATGCAGAGGATGCCTCCCAGGTCCCCTTTTTGTGGCCCTGAGAGCCACCTCTGTGCTTGTAGACAATTTAAGGAAGAGTTTCTGCCATTTGGTGGTAGGGAAGAGAAAAAACTGTGGTAGAGCCCCTAAGATAGGACTGTGACAGATCCCTAACCAGCTTCACCTCAGACTTGTCATGGGCTTACCCCATGGCTTCCGATGACCTGGGTACATTGTTCCTCAGCTTTCTTCCACAAACCAGCAGCTGGAGGGGAACCCCTGCATGCCCCGTCACCACGGAGCGCCTGGGGTTGGCAATTCGTGAGAAGATGGGCGTCTGCAGTAGCTGTGAACTGAGCAGCCATCCCTAACTCTCAGGACCCCCTTTTTGCCCCCCACAGAGATCGGCGAGAGCGACACCGCTCCAAGAGTCGAGATGGGAGCCGAGGGGACAAGTCCGTCACCATCCAGGCTCCTGGGGAGCCCCTGCTGGACAACGAGTCAACCCGAGGTGACGAAAGGGTGAGTGGCTTTATTGGCTACGCTGGGAAGACAGGCGTTGACCTCGCCTCCTGGCCCTTGTTCTTGCTTCTGCGTCTGCTCCTGGGGCACTTTCTGGAGTGTGTCTCCCAGGGAATGAAGGGTTCTTTTGCTAGAGTTTTGGGATGTTTCTCTGTAGGGAATTATTTTGGGTATGTGCTTAAAGAGGAAGGCAGGAAGGAAAAGTGGCCTTACATCGTGCATCTATGTGGTGTTGAGTTCTGCTCCTGCTGCTCTCTCACCTTTGTTTATCTTACTAAGTTTATATCCTGCCTTTCATTCAGGAGTTAAGTTAAGTGTAAAGTACTCCCTTATTTTCTCACAGCAACAACCCTGTGAAGTAGGCTGGGCTGAGGAAGGATGACTGGGCCATGGTTGCTGCAGGGGAACTAGAACCTGGGTCTCTCTGCTCCTGGTCCAACATTTTCAATGCTCTATTCTGGTTTTGCTGCAATTTTATTTACCCCATTTTGTAGCCCTGCTTGGAATGATTATGGTAAAATGTTGATAATGATACTGGTAGTCCTTACTTAACAACCCTAATTGGGACTTGGAACTCCACTGCCAAGCAAAGCAGTTGCTAAGTGGGAAATCTCGTGACTGCAACTGTGCTTTCTGGCTGGAAAGAGACAAGACTACTCAGTTTCACCCCTTTGGCTTTTGTTTGCCTCCTAACCTCTCCCCTGCCCTTTGCAGTGCTTAAGTGCCTGCTTACTGTCTTGTACACATCGAAAGCAATGAGATTGCACTGGCAGCCCAGTCCTGGGAGCCACAGGCGCACTGCGCAAACAGCTTACTCTCTTGAAATCCCTTCCTCTCCAATCTCTCCGCTCTGCGAGCGGGGTGGGAAGAAAGCGATTTCTGTAGGCAATCTCTCCTTTGCCCGACCCTTTCCCACTGCTGGTGGGATCGCATTGCTTTTGATGTGTGGAACAGCAAACAGCTTACTGTCTTACAACCCCTTCTTTTCCAATCTCTCTGCTCTGCAATGGGGTGGGGGGAAACCACAGGTCAGGCAAAGGACAACACGTACTGACTGTAATGACGAATAAGCAACTGAGGGGTGCTGCATAGGTCATAAATGGTCATAAATTGGCCGCAAAGTTTTTTTTTCAGCACTGTTGTAACTTTGAATGGTTGCTAAATGATTGGTCAGAAAGCAAGGACTACCTGTAATAAATAAATACAAGGACATCCACGAGAGGGGTGGGGAGTTGGAACTGCACCAGATCTCACACACACACATCCCATTTGCCACACGAATGGAGGAGCTAGCCGGCTGGGATTCTTACAGTCCATCCAATTGTGCAAACTCTGTTTTTGCTAAAGTTAAAAATTCTAAGCCTGTGCTAGTCTGGAGGGAAAGAGCTGCCAAGGTGCGTAAGTTAGATAGCAGTTCACAGTTGGCGTTCTGGTGATCAGTGAAAATGGAAGGGATACAACTCCGCTGATTTTAGGTGTGTTGGGTTGCAGTTCCCCGAATCCCCCAACATTTTGCAGCCCAGCCCCAGCGGGGGGAGGCTGAGCGCAGAAGGGGGTCTTCAGGGCTGCTGCCTGTCCAGCTGGGATCACTGCATGGTGCCGTGGACAGGGGGGCCTTTCCAGGCTTGGCCATTTGCAACGGGGGAGGACAGACCGCACTTCTTTTTCGGCGGTGACTGCTGCCCCCTTTTAAGGCTCCCCTGTTACCTTTGTTTCCTGGCAGGATGACAACTGGGGTGAGACGACCACAGTGGTGACCGGCACGTCAGAACACAGCATTTCCCACGATGACATCACACGCATCACCAAGGACATGGAGGACAGTGCCCACCTGGACTGCTCCCGCCACCTGGGGGTCTCGCTGGCTGGGGCCCTGGCCCTCCTCTCCTTCCTGACCCCCATCGCCTTCATGCTGTTGCCCCAGCTGCTGTGGGGTGAGCAGCTGAGCCCTTGTGGGACCCCCTGTGAGGGCCTCTTCATCTCGGTGGCCTTCAAGCTGCTGATCCTCCTGCTGGGCAGCTGGGCCCTCTTCTTCCGGCGCCCCAAGGCCTTCCTCCCGCGCATTTTTGTCTTCCGCGCCTTGCTCATGGTGCTGGTCTTCCTCCTGGTGGCCTCCTACTGGCTCTTCTATGGCGTCCGCATCCTGGACTCCCGTGACACCAACTACCAGGGCATCGTCCAGTACGCCGTCTCGCTTGTGGACGCCCTGCTTTTTGTCCACTACCTGGCTGTGGTGTTGCTCGAGCTGCGGCAGCTGCAGCCGCATTTCACCCTCAAGGTGGTGCGCTCCACTGACGGGGCCAGCCGGTTTTACAACGTGGGGCACCTCAGGTAAGGATGGGCGGGGGGTCAGCGCAGGACCCTTGGCAGAGCTCATCATGAGTATGTTGGTGTAAACAGCAGGGACAGAACTGATTGGGAAGGCTGCGAAGCTGGTGAAGCAAGATGCAATTGGGTGGCAGAGGCTACTGTCCTGATTCTGGGGCAGGTCGTAGGGTGTGCAGCTGAAGCTCCACAGCTACCCCTGATCCCCCTAGGTCTCTGCAGCACCTCCAAAACTGCCACCAACTTTTCCTCTTTCGGTAGAAATTATTAAAGACATGGGGAACAGTCATGATAATGTATTTACAGGTAGTCCTCACTTAATGACCCTAATTGGGGCTGGCAACTCCGTCACTAAGCAAAGCTGTCATTAGCAGAAACATCATGTGACTTCTCTGCTTAGCAACAGCAGTCCCTCTTGCTGTTGTTAAATGAACCCTGTGGGTCATTAGGTGAGGACCCACCCCGATCCAAGCCATTCCCGGCTTGGTCCCGCCCAGCCCAAGCCTTGGTTCTTCCAAGGCAAAATTACTGCCTCCTCTTCAACCCCCCCCGCCTCTTCCCCCCCCCCTTGCCCATCTCTGCCCTTTTTGGCTACCCTGCATGAAGAGGCTGCTGGGTTCTCCTGCTGGTGTCCCCCACTGCCGCCCCCAGTGGACCTTCCTCCCTTTCCTCCTCAGCGCGATCATCTTCCTCCTCCCCTCCGCCAGACTCGCCACTGCCACTGAGGAGTGCCACCTCAAACCCTGCGGCACAGCAGGCAGCCAAGTTGCACCAAGAAGCCCTGTTCCCATAGCGTCTCAAGAAGACCCTGAGCCGCAGTGTGGTGTGAAACCCCAGCTGCCCCACTGCAGCCGCCCTCCCCGCCCCAGGCCCCATCTGACCTTTGCCGTCTTCTTGCTCACGTTGCTGACGAGGTGGCCTGGCCTGGCCTGGCCCTTCGCTGGTTTTCTTCTGAGATCTCGGGAGGAAGTTCCTCGCATGGCCAGCAGCTGCCTGGAGAAGGGTCAGGCCGGGTGCACTTTGTCAGCAGCAGGAGCAAGACGACGGCAAAGGTCACGTAGGGTGGCAGGGGCCACGGAGCGCAAGGGGCCAAAAGAGTAGAGATGGGGAGGGGGGATAAGTGGGTGGGGGTTGTTGAATGAAGTGGATCCTGTAGTCATGAATGTGGGCGGGCTGCCAAGTACCCAAATTTTGATCACATGACCGCAGGGGCGCTCCAACGACCATAATTTTGAGGACTGGGCGTAAGTACCATTAGTTCAGTGCTGTCGTAACTTCAGTCACTGAACAAATGGTAATTAAACGAGGACTACCTGTAGTTTGTTTAGTTTTAATTAAGTTTAAGCTTAAATTAGATCAGATTTAGTTTCCCCAGCTCCTTTTTGGAACGCAGCCCTCTTCTCTCCAAGGCAAAGGGTGTCTCTTGGCCCAAAAGTGTTTGGTCTTTTGCTGGAAATGATGCTGGAAGAACTGGGCTGCCTCCTGCAGGGTTCCACGCACAAACCACTTGGTTTTCATGTACTGCCACAATTTCTGCCCCACTTTTCTGCCAGTGAGATGTGGCTGCTATTAGGGCTTTTAAAATTAAGCAGAGTGGCTGGAACCTGGATGTCCAGAGGTGCCTCTGCTTCAATTCAGCCGGTCCCCCCATGGGGTGCCTTCAGGACCTCCCTCCAGATGCGCATCCAGATCATGGATGGGAGCTCCTCCTTGAGAGCCCATTGATGGGTTTTCATCCCCCCTGGGCAGGCTCAGTAGGGCCTGGGGAGGGAAGGCTCCCTCACGTTCCCATGTCTTCTGATCTCATGGCAGGCTTGTTCCTGCGCGTTACATTGGATTGTCCTTCAGGGGTTTTGCAAATTCTGTGGAATGATGAGATGAAGCGAACAGCATCCCTGTCCTAGAACCACAGTGAAACTTAGAACACAGTGGCTGGTTTTACATGTAACCAGAAGCATGATGGTTATTATGGTTGGTTGCACAGTCAACCGGTTGTTTAGTCTGGATTTGGCATTTTTATCTGCCTATCGAGTCCTTCCCAAGGACCTGGGATAGGCAGATGTTGTTATTAGGGGACAGCAGACCCATTGTGCTAAAAGCAAGCCAGCCACATTCTGGCTTCTTGTACTGTGTGACCGGATCCCTCAGTGATTGCTGTTACCTTGTTGTAACAAAGCCGGGTCTAACACTTCCCTCCCTGTAGCATCCAGAGAGTTGCCGTGTGGATCCTGGAGAATTACTATCACGATTTCCCTGTCTACAACCCGGCCCTCCTCAACCTGCCCAAGTCGGTTCTGTCTAAGAAAATGTCTGGCTTCAAGGTCTACTCACTTGGCGAGGGTAAGCGTTGGCGGCCCCTCCTGAAGGGGCGGGCTTTGAATCCTCAGCAATGGGTTGCCTGCAACCAAGTGTTATTCCTTCTCCAGCTCTCAAGCTGAGCTGCCAAGAGAGAGATGTTTTAACTAGGTCTGCTGGAGAACTAACTTGATTTCCCGGTTCTTGGACTGGGGTGGGGGTGTTTGGCTGCCTTCCCCAACCTAGTGCCCTCCAGCTGTCTTGGGGTGCAACTTCCTGAGTTCCCAGCTGCTGGTGTTGCAGTTCCAGCCTGTCTAGAGGGTGCCAGGTTGAGGGAAGGCTGTGCTAATGAGCGTGAGCCCTGATAATTGTGCCAGCCCAGCACTTGGTCCTGTGGTTCTTGCTTCCCTTCTAGAAGCCAGACTAGATGGGCGAGGGGGGCGGAATAGCTTAAAAGCTGCTCTCCCTAGCTGGATAGAAATGTTGGTTGGTTGATTGCACAGCAAGAACATTGCTCTAGACCAGTGTTTCTCAACCTTGGCAGCTTGAAGACCTGTGAGCTTCAACTCCCAGAATTCCCCAAGCTGGCTGGGGAGTTCTGGGAGTTGAAGTCTACAGGTCTTCAAGTTGCCAAGGTTGAGAAACACTGCTTTAGACTATGAAACAGGGATTGGGTGGCCCAGTTTTGTTTATTTGCTTGTATTTTTCAGCAAGGGTGAGGTGCTGAGCTCATCTTCCTCCACCTGCACGCAGGGTGGGGGGAGTTGCAAGGCTCACGATTCTCCAGCAAAGCTTGGTGAAGATTGTCCCAGCCCCCTCCCCACCTGCAGCTCCCTTGCCCAAAGACAGACTCTTCCTTTACTTCCTATTTATTTGAGTTCCTAAATTAAACTGACTTGGAGGAAAGGGGATTGGTAGAGAGCTACGGGCTGGGCGTTGGACTCCGGCTGCCACTTCATATGTAGTTTGGTCAGAGGTCCAACTATGTGGCCTCCAGATCTTGGCTGCATCCATGCGAACGCTTAAGCTGGTCCGTTGAAGGCCTAAGCAGCTGCTTTTGTATCGTGGGCTAAGCTTGGTTTGTTTTTACCAAGATCGGCCATTTGTACATTCATTCATTTTATATGTACACAATTAACAAGACAATCTTTAATCTTAAAAAGAAAAATTTAAAAAACACAAATACAAACTAAGAAAAGAAAAAAAATCTACCTTACATTGTATACTTATCGATGGTTTATTGATGAATTCTCCACTATAATATGAATAATACAAAATATTATTGTAAGATATCACAACATCTTGGCCGTAGTAACCCCTATTGCTGCACCCAAGATTGGCTTAACTTTTTGAGGCTTAGTTTACAGGGCAAATCCAGCATGTTTGATTCGCTGAGGATGGAGAGGAAGTTTATTCAGTAGCTGGGTTAAGTGGGTGGTCTGAGTTCCACCATTACTCTTTTCCCAGTTCTCCTTAGCCATTCTGGCCCATGGTAGGGGATGCTGGAAGTTAGGGTCCTCCCCTGCAAGATTAACCTTGGGCTGGCTGGTTGGGGGTTGGCGTGGGGATTTATGTTGGGGACAACACCACTTTACGCTGTTGGACCATAGTAGAACAGTGCTGGTTGTGCCTTCTGGAATGATGGAATTTAAGGTCCTCCACCTGGAGGACATCAGGTGAGGGAGTCTCCAGTCAATAACCCCCTTGATCTTCCCTTTCTCCACCCTTTTACCTCCCTCCAGAGAACACAACGAACAACTCAACCAGCCAATCGCGGGCTGTTATTGCTGCAGCTGCCCGGAGGCGGGACAACAGCCACAACGAATACTACTATGAGGAAGCAGAACATGAGCGGCGAGTGCGCAAGCGGCGAGCTAGGTGGGTCCCCTCAAAAGGACCAGTGGGCCTGGGGGGCAGTGGGGAGAGGACTGAAGGGTCTTCCCCAGCCAAGAAAAAACTAAGCTCAGGTCCCTGCAGAGGGAGGATTCCTTAAGGCTGAGATCACACCTTTGTAATTGTGTGAATTGTTGAGTTGGTTTGGGAAAATAGCCTTGGAGCAGCTCCACTTTCAATGAATTGTCAAATCAGTTTGGAGGCCTCCCATTTAGTTGGCTTCAACTTTAGGATTTGATTTGGAAAATGGATTCAGTTCGCAGTTTTTCCGAAACGGCTCTTAATCATCAAAACTTCACGCAGGCCGTCATCCTAAGTAATAGGATTAATGTCAAGCTTAAGAGAGTTGTAATGTGCCTTTCACATTACAGTTGTAAGCGCCTTGTAAGCAGATTAAAATGCAAAAATACAAATTGTACAAAGGATTGAATTAATGGCTGTGTCTACTTTGGAGACTGAAGGGAGTCCGGGTAACTTTTTAGAGAAGTCACAGAGCGAATCGCCCTCCCCCAACATCCTCCTCTCCTTGCCCTTCCACCCCTTGCTTTGGGTGTGCTTTACCTCTCGGGGCTTCCACCCAGCTGCTGGCAAAAGCTGCAGGTGAGATGTTTGTGAGTGTCTCTGCTATTGTGGGCAGCTTAATCTGTGCTGAAGATGGATCCTTTCCCCATTCTCTTCTCTGCCCTGGATGGTTCCTTGAGGAGGGGGAGAGGTGGGAGCTGTGGAGCCCGTTTGCTTGCTCTGACAAGGGCCTCTGGTCTCCACAGGTTGGTGGTGGCTGTGGAAGAGGCCTTCACGCATATTAAAAGGCTTCAGGAGGAGGACCAGAAAAATCCGCGGGAGATCATGGACCCCCGGGAGGCCGCCCAGGCCATCTTTGCCTCCATGGCCCGGGCCATGCAGAAGTACCTGCGTACCACCAAGCAGCAGCCATACCACACAATGGAGAGCATCCTTCAGCATCTGGAGTTCTGCATCACCCATGACATGACGCCCAAGGTAGTGGAGGCGGGGACGGCTTCCTTCCCCGGTTGGTTGGGGAGTGGGAAGGGCAGAGAAAAGCATGACAGCGGCTAGCTGGTTGTTTGCATCGCGGATCCTTTGGCCTGGCTGAATCATTCTTCTGGCAGAATTGCGGATGATGATCCGGGAGGTCCTTGTCTCCTTTTGCCCATGTCAAGTCCAGCTAGCGTGGGGGCGATAAACCACTTCATGTTCCAGTTGACGTTGGGGGTTTTCTTTGGAGCGTTCTTCCAAAGGAGAAGAGAATTTTGACAATGTCCTGGGGTGCTCCTATGCTTTAATTTAATGATCAGGTAGCCTGGGGGGGCGGTCCTCCCTTGGCTTCCCACGCTTCCATTCAGTCCTAAGGGAAGACTCTCAGTGATTCCCAGGGCTCAGCGCGATGGGAAAATGCAGTAATTCCAGTAAAGCTGCTTTAGCAGGAAGGGTGTTTGGGAACAAACTGCAAAGCAGATTTTCACATCAACTCTGCTGCTGCTTATGCCCTCTGCTATTCCAAGGTAGAATGCTCTTGGACATGGATGTTCAAATGGAATAGAATCGAATGGTGAACAGTCCTGAATTTGGAACTGTTGCGGAGTCAGAATTCTTTTCTGCTTTTTATTTTTGGTTTAAACTTTTTTGCTGTTGGTATTTCATTTTCACTGGTTCCTGAATTCTTCTGTGTGCTTTATAAGACAATTAAAATGTATTGGGTTCTCTGCAAGGGTGAAGGTAAACACATGTTGTCCTCAACTTAAACCTTACTTTATGAGACAGCATGGAGATTTTAGCTGAAGATAGGGCACAAATATTTTAAAATAGTTTGCCCAGTATTGGCTGGGAAGTCAGTATCAAATGGAACCCTCATAAGCCTGTGCTGTCTTAAGACCAACCTAATGCTGGAATTTGCAACACGGCTCTTGTGGGCACCAGGGAGTCCACCGCGCCAGCAGGGGGCACCCAAGGACCTAATTATGGTTAAATGGGTTAAATGGGTAATATGGGTAATATGGGCCAAACCTATGAGATAACCAGATCTCACCAGATCTTGGGGTTCTTGGGTGAAGTCTCATTGGATTGCATCCATCTGAAATATTATTGTTGGTGTTACTATTATTTTTATTGACTACCTTCTCAAAAGCTACAACTTAGAGAGTTTGGGGATGGGGTCTTTCCCCCTGAACATAATGGACTTTGGCTTGGGGTGGCCCATTTGAATTACAAACTTTTCTCGTAAACCACGGTGATCCCGTGATACACCAGTTTTGTTGCTGTTTTCAAAGTCAAGCTGGGAGTCGAGTCGCTGACCTGTGCTTCCCGTCCATCTCCGCAGGCGTTCCTCGAGCGCTACTTGACCGCGGGGCCCACCATTCAGTACCACAAAGACCGCTGGCTGGCCAAGCAGTGGACTCTGGTCAGCGAAGAGCCAGTGACCAACGGGCTGAAGGACGGGGTGGTCTTTGTCCTGAAGCGCCATGACTTCAGCCTCGTGGTCAGCACCAAAAAGATCCCCTTTTTTAAGCTCTCGGAGGAGTTTGTGGACCCCAAATCGCACAAGTTTGTGATGCGGCTGCAGTCGGAGACCTCGGTGTGACCTACAGCTGAGCTGAAGGGCTTGAATGCCAGGAATGCAGCTCTCTGCGAGGAGGGGGCAACCACCTGGCACCGGCCTGCGTCTCCCGGGTTTGAGAGAGGTTCCCAGGGTCAGCGGAAGGCCCTCCATGGCGTCTGCGTCATCTTCTCCACACCTATGGATGCCAGAGCTTGACCGCTCCTTCTCCCCCTCTCCTCCCCAAGTCCTTCGCGCCCCCAACCGAGGGGAAGGGCAGGGGCCCTTCCTTCCTTACCCCTCCCCATTCCCACCCCCATCCCATCCTTTGTAGCCAGCCCCCAGGAACTGAGAAGGTATGTGGGTGATAAGGACAGCATTATCTCTCCTTCCCCCCCACCCCCCTGCCGGTGAAATTGCTGGAAGTTACTGTGCCAAATTCTAAGGGCTAACTGTTGGCGGTCTTCACCAGCATCTGCAGACACAGTTGGGCTAAGGAACTTTCGTGAATGTCATTTTTTTAAAAAAAACTACACGCAGGCACGTGCACACACCCGCACACACCCCCACACACGTCGCCTGATGCTGTTGTCAGCTCCCTCCGTCCCTGAGGTCCAACTGCACAAGGCTTGGTGGAGCATCCTAGGAGGGCCTGGTGGTCCAAGGGGAGGCCGGCCACCGCCTGCAGCCATCGATCCGGTCTCTCGGGGTCTTTGGCTGGCTTGAGTTCCAACAGGTCAAACACACAAAAAAAGCTGGAAGGGTGTTGGGGTGGGCGTTTTTAAGAAGATTACGTCTTTTTTTTTTTAAGATACCGATCTCTGTACTTTTTAGAGAAATCCTGTGTGTTGTAAATAGTTTCTTCTGAATCACTCGCTTGGCCACAAGGTTGGGACTATTCGCTCGCTGCTCTGTGGTTGGACCCTGCTTTAGCGTGAAGGGGGGGATTTAGGGGGGAGGTGAGCAAAGTAGCCCTTTCTTGCATTTGAGTCAACAGGAAGCTCTTTTGCACGTGCAAAACCTGGGTCTTGCTGTTCCTTTTAGACGGTTTCTGTGGGAGACTCTGCATCCTTGCTCCCCCCCAACTTTCAGAGGCCCCCAGTACGAAGCAGCTTGCAGAGGGCTTTCCTGTCCTGCCCCCCCACCCCACCCCACCCCACGGCTTTGGAAAACTGAACAAAATTGCTGGTTGGCTGAGGACCAGTCACTCACCCGTGGAGAGATGAGGTCACTCTGAGCTGTCTTTTTTGCTGTTCATTTTTCAGGAAATTATTTTTTTTGTCACGAGAAGACCTCAGTTTTTCTGCTGGGGTTTTTTTTCTACAGCTGTTTCATTTTTACCTAATGTGGGGTTTTTTGGTTTCAATGATGACCTCTCCAAAAGAAAATTTGGTAGAGGTTGGGCTGTGCCAACATACGGTGCTCAGCTGGTGTTGGGGCTGCTGGGGGTCCATTCCTTGTGGGGGGTCTTGTGTTGGAGGGTGAAGAGTGGGGAGGGGGCGCCTCCAGTTATATCACTGTGATTCAAGTTTCTAAAATAATTTTAACGTTTAATACTTGGGGCAGGACCCAGCCACAGTAAGGGAACTTCTGAAAAGCCAGCGGTGTCATTTGGCTTTGCATTGAAAAGCAGTATAAGACCCCTGACCACTTCAGCAGATATTCCAGTTTAAATCTTGGCACGCTTGGTGGACTTCACTTCGCCTGGATTGCGGCCCTTGGGGTCTGCTTAAAGGGTGATGCCTTTTAAAAGTAAATAAATCCTGAAATTAGGGCTTGTGTTATATTTATATATTTATATGGGGGTTGTGAGCTTCGTTTTCCTCATTCCTGCCGCGACATTCCCTGAAGTGAGCCGCAGACGGAGGCTGGCATGGGCTCCTTTGCAGTTAGGTTCCCAGGAGACGTCCTACAACTCTGCTAAAAGCTCAAAATCCTTGTTGGTCATTTCTCAGAGGCTGGCCTTGGTGGTCTGTCTTTCCTCTGGCTGGCAGCTTTTTCTAAGCAGGTGCCCACCAGGTGGGTTGGGTTCAACCCTTGAGGCCTTAAACAGCACCACCAGTGTTGGTTCTGTCTGTGACCTAAACCCACTCCAGCTGCTCCTGAATCCAGAACGGCATTTCTCAGCCTCCGCAAGTTTAAGAAGTGTGGACTGGGGAATTCTGGGAGTTGAAGTCCACACATCTTAAACTCGCGGAGGTTGAGAAACATTGATCCAGAAGCAGACTTTAGGGTGTTAGAAGCAATTCACAGTCAGAGCTTTGATCCACAGAAGTGGGATCAGTTTCTTAGGGAGGCTCTTAATGTGAGTCCACCAGTGATCCATTCTTCATCTTGGATGGTGACATCTCCTGTTGGTCGTTTACAGTAATTTTTTGGTGGCTGACCATTATAGGATAAAAGCTGATTATAAGATAAAAGTTCTCCCAATCAGTTGCACATTGCTTTGGAAGAATACAAGTAGAAACTTTCTAATCTTTTGAGCGGGGGGGAGAAGGGAATCTTCCTGTTGTGTTTGTTGCCCACTTTTGATCCTCTTAAATTTGAAAGCACAGCCAGACCTGGTCTCTGTAACTTCACTGTCATTTCATATCATTGCAAGACTTGGTTGTTTAGCAGGAGAAAAGGGTGAGAGTGACCACCCTCCCCTATCAGACTGGAAGTATTAAAATATAGGCCGCCTTTCTCCTTAGCTCAAATGCGTACACGCACACTGAATTTAGGAAACCATTTTCTGATTTTTTTTTTTTAAAAGACAGCTGAGAAACCTTGTGCATGCATGTAGAAAATTGTAAAATGTAAATTTTTTTAATATATAAAAGTTTGTTTTTACAGTTTGCAGTGGTACTAAGCATTACAGCAATGTTAGTAAAGGGTTTTTTTCATAAATATAGGAAGTAAAATTGTACATTTTTTTCTAAAAAATAAACATCTTTTGGAGCTTTGGGTATTCTTCTTCTGCCTCGCCTTGTGATATTTTCAGGAAAGGAGTGGGTCTGAGTGCTTGTCGGGGCTCATCCGGCTGGAGAAAGGTCTCTGGCAACTTTTAAATTATTAAAGGCAGTCCATGGATGCAAAGGAGTTGGGTCCACCGAAACTGGTTCCTTCTGCCAAAAGGCTCGGGGCAGAGAGCCCAAGGCGGCGAGTCCAGTAAGACCTCTTTTTAGGAGGGAAGCTGGGGCAGGTAGATGGTCACCTCTTAAGCCATCAAGCTCCACTTTTGGTGGAACTGGTATTTTGAGTTCCCCGTAGGGCAGATGCAAGCACCTTGGGTCCAGACGTTCATGATTTGGGGCTTTTACTTCTCTTTTGGTAAGGTCTGGTGTGGCAGCTTCAGAGGGGACTTCTCTCCCAGAACCACCAGCTGCTCTTACAGAAACCATGGCTGATTCTAGTGCAAAAGAGTCTAGTGCATTTTGACTGTAATACATTAGCTCAGTGTTTCTCAACTTCAGCAAGCTTCAGATGGGTGGGCTTCAATCCCCAGAATTCCCCAGCCAGAATGCTGGCTGGGGAATTCTGGGAGTTGAAGTCCACAAATCTTACCGAGGTTGAGAAACGCTGCATGAACTTGTTAAATAGTCTCCATTAGCGGCAGAGTGCGCCTCTCTGATGAGATGGGGAGGTCTAGGAAAAGCAGCCTCAAGAATTACATCTGCAACAGGTGCAAGGGACGCCCCTGGTTTATGGTCATTGGGTCAGTGATGATCTCCACCTTCTCCACCTTGCCATGTATTGGATCTCCAGCTGAAGTGGCCGGTGGAGAATGGGAGTTGTTGAGCATCTCCACAAGTTGCTGAAGGTGACACTGTTCCTGCTGCAAGGGAGAGATTTTGGGCAGAAGGCTGAATTTCACTGCTTGCAACGGCCCTGGTGTTCGGGAGGGATTGGGCACCAATGGCTCCTGGGGCCCCACAACTCATTTTAAGGGGTGATAACATTTAAGGGGCAGCAAAGCCCAAATGTATTCCATACATTCACAACTCAGACACTTCCAACAGAATCATATCTTTGGATGGGTGGTCTCATTACAGGGTTTAAAAATTAGAATTCAAGAGGAAAGTATAGGCAGAAAATGCGTTCTGTATACAGTGACCATACATCCTTTATTATAAAGGAGAATCCCTTATTTCAGAAAGCTGTCCTTTCTGAATTTATTTAATTTACTTACTTTCTTGGTTTTGCTCTTGAATTCTCCTTTGTAAACCAAAGTTATAAACAATTACATTGTTTTGTCCTCGTGATTTGCCCCTTTTTCAGGTTGGTCCTTTATTGTTTTCCAAGAAAATACAGTCGCTGTAGTGACGGAGCATATTTTATTGATGAAATTTGTGAACTGCTTCAGTCAAGGCTACTCAAAGTGGTGTAAAAAAGTAACAGCCACAGCAGTACAATCACAGTGCATGAGGAATATGCTATTCCTGGCTTCAGGGACTGCAGCGCTTGGGTCCCGAGGGAAGGACGAGCTGGGTGTTTGCCATTGGAAGGCGAGTGGGAGCCACCCTTGCCTGGGGGGGGGGGCAGGCTGGTCCGGCAGCGGGCAGCCCCCCCAAGAAGGCCCACTTCTGGCCCCCTCCCGGCCCAGTCTCCAGACCTTCCGCAGGGTGCTCTGTGCCCTCGGACTGGGCGAGCACAGCCTGCGCCGGGTGCTCGTGAAGACGCCCGTGCCCATGCCCGGGCCGCAGAGGCTCGGTCGCATTCGGAAATGAGTTGGTGACAGGTGCCGCTCCCGCAGCAAGGACGTTAAGTGGGGCTGCTGCCCTTTGCGCCCACTGAAGTTTCTGGGTGGTCTTCAAGGGCAGCCCTGTGGAGAGCAAATGTCAGCAATCCATGTGGGAGATGATAAAGCTGAGCGACCATCTTCAGTGCCCCCTATTCTAGGTCAGGCACATCCGTCTAGGTCGGGCAGAGGTCTCCAGCTGCTGTTCTGTATCAGGAGCTGAGCGCCCAGGAGGACCCCTGATGGTGGGCCTCTTCACAGAGCAGCACCCCCATGATTCATATGCTCCCAACAAGGTTTCAGTAACAGTTGGATTCAAAAATACAAGGTTTAGAAGATGATATAATTAAAAAACAAGATCTAGAGGCAAACTTTTACTCTTGGAACTGACGTCAATGACAACATACAATAAATTAGCAGTTGAACCAGAACAGCATGATAAAGGAATCGAGGAAACAAAGGACAACAGGAATGATCTTCAGACTGAACTGGAAGGTTAGAGAGGAGGATGGAGGCTAGGCTACAAATAGGAGAAATATAAATTACACAGCAATAATTTAAGTTTCAGAGGAATTCGCTCTGCTTCTAATAGTCGGGAAGAGCCTTGAGGTTTTTGACTTCTGTTCTTCAGTGAGGAAAGATTAGGCGGGCTGCTCTGTTCCAGCTGGAGATCTTGAATGGTGGTAAAGCTTTTTCATCTTTGACAGGATGCTAGGAGAATGGTTGAGCTACTAGCAGTCACAGAACAGTTAAAAAATACTCGGAAAAGACATAGCACCAAAAACTGGGCCAAGTAGCTGCTCCTTTATTAATCAATCACAGGCGCCATGGATTATATAAAAGTACTTTCAACTAGTACTGACTCATGGTTCATTCATAAAAACAGTTAAAAAAGGAAAACACGCACGCTGTATGTCTTCAAGAGACTCACATTAAAAAAAAGGCAATGTTAATCTGCTAGGATGTAAATGAGTTGGTCAAAAGACGGGAAAGGCCCCATATCTCAGAAATTTATCTTGGGCTCTGGGAAAGCAATTAGAAGACGAAGAAGGGACTTTTATAATATTACGACTCCAGACTGAACAAGGGAAAATAACCACAGCTTCAGTTCGTGTTCCGAATGATAAAGCAACATTTTACAAAGATTTTTTCCAACAGCTTCTTGAAATTGTCGAGGGAGGTGTTTAGAGATATGAATGGGGTCTCCTCTCTGAAGTTATCCAAAAAGACTTCTGGCAAAACTTCCCAAAGGTATCCAGGACCGCAGGACTCTGCTGTCTGCCAGATCTGCTACTCTCCTTCTCAGAGACATGGAGACATAAAGAACCTCCAGCAAAGGAATACAGATGTTACTCTTCTGTTCATAAAACTAATCCTTGAATGAGACGGGTACTGGGTTTCCAGTTCACCGTTAACTAAACTTATAGGGGTGGAAGTTGCACCTCTCACTTGGGTGCTTCATAATCCAATAAGTGTAAGATTACACAAAGGAATCTTGAAGTCTTAAAGGTGAAGACTTAATGGCTTCTTAGTGCTACAAGAGGATGTTAAACTGAAGCATTAACACAAAGAACACCTTCCAAGCCAATTTAACTCCTGATGTTTCTTTATCTGCAGTAAGGGATTCATTACAGTATAAGTAGTTGGCTAATCAACTATGAAAGGAACGAGAGAAACGAATTGTTGCTTCTATTTGGGATGGTAACAGGTATGTTTTAACAATGGAGGAAATAATAAATCAAATATTACTCCAGATTATACAGCAAATTGATATTAAACTTGGAGCAGATTGAAGAGTATCTAAATACAATACAGTTTACAAAGTTCACAGAACAACAAAAGGAAGCTCTAAATAAACCACTTACTGGAAGGGAAATAAAAGTAGTATAAACACTGAAGCTGCACAATCCCTAGGACCGGATGGATTTTCTGCAATATACTACAAGGCCTTCCAGGAAATTCTGATTAAACCATCATCAGGTAATGAATGAGATTCAACAATGTCTGGTATGGAGGGGTTTCTTCCCCTTCACTGGAGGTTTTCAAACAGGCTGAATAGTCATCTGTTGGGGATGGTATCATGAATCCTGCAGATTGACCTCTTAGGTGCCTCCAACTCTATAAATCTAAGTCCTCCTTTTTTTCATTCATTCTTTTGATTTATAAAGAGGGAAATGAGTTACATAGACCTGTTCCATGACAGAATGCAAATTGTAAGGGTTTTACCTCAATACTTCCAAAATTCAGCCTTGTAACTGAATTGCTATGCCTTGATCAAACTGGATTTGTCCCTAAGAGATTTAAGATATATTTTGAATGTTACCGATTATACAAACTAGAAAAGTAAGAAATGAGTATGACTCAAGATTTTACAAGATTTGAAAGACCAAGGTAGATTGGTGCTACAATGTTTTAAATTTATTTTTTATTATTTGGAAACTAAATGCAAATAGTTATAAAGAAAAAAAAACGTGATATATATGAAAAAGAGAAAAATAAAATCAACAAAGATGTTGGGCAATATCACCTATTACTAAGCTAGTTGCTTAAGTGGATTTCAACACTTCATGGCTGGGTTGCTTTTGTAGGAGAAACAAAACTTCCAGATGTGTTGCGTAAAGATCTTTGATTTAATACATATAGGAAAATACAACTGATAAGGGATCGTTCAGTAATAAGCAGCATTCTAAAAGTATAAGATAAATACAAGAAAGAATGGGTTCAGATCAATTGTCTCTTTGATATTAAATATTTTCATGAAAGATAATGTAGAAAAATATTTGATCAGTGCAGGGGCAATGATCCATAGAGATTGCAAGACTTAAAAAGCCGAAATATTTTGAGATTCTCTCTTCAGAATGGCTGGAATGACCCCATTGGTTTCAATATCTACAAATAGGTTGTATAGTCCAAAAAGAATTACAAAAACAGGGAGGAGTACTGCAAAATTTGATTGAATTTGAAGAACTTATTACACAGAATTTGGATAATTTATTGGAGCTTATTTATAAGTTCCCAGTGAAGTACAATTCCGAAAATGAACAAACACTATGATTAAATGGATGCAGAATTTAAAAAACAATTAATGTGCAAGAATGGGAGGATCCATGAAAGAAAAACATCAAGTTTACAGTTACTATTAGAGAAAGTTGGAATAAGATGCTCTATCAATGGTATATTATTATAATATTGGTGGCAAAAATAGGCAATTCTCTAAAATTG